ATAACACACACACACAATTATACTTCCATTAAACTGTTCTTTATGTTCATCATGTTTAGTTGAACTTTTCCAAGACAAGGTTTGGAGAGAAATAAAGACTGTGTGCAATGACGTAGATGCACGTGCTATTTCAACACAATGAATGATTAGCAGCAAATGAAACAAATAGCTTTTTATGAATTTGTTGCGAACATCTGACGAGTCCGTCGCTTGAAAACGAGGCTTTAACACGTCTCCATGGTTACAAACTAACTTTATGTGTTCGAAATTATTTACGCCGTTTAAAGTATTTTAGTTCACCTATTGAATCAAAACAAACCTGAAAGTACACCTAGTAAAACAGGAAAACTTCATTGTTTGTTTCAGATGTTCGCGCAAAGCTACACATGGACTTAATTGTTGACTGATAGACTAGAGGGAAAACAACCACAGTCAACATCACTCACCACCAACTCTTGAGCTACAATACTAATATTTGATCATTACTCGCATAACAAACCCACAGCCCCAAAGCTGGGAGCTCGATTTTGCAACAACGGGACGCGAACCCTAGACATTCAGATACACAGTCTGGAACTCTTACGATTAGGCTACGCCCGGTCCGGAGCTGTTTATATAAGTAATTTTAGCTCTATACAATTTTTTCTCCTAACTTTTAAGATCTAAAAACCTGAGATAAGTGTTGTCTATAAGGGGGTTACCGTAATCTTACATTTAAGCCTATTTAGACTCTTATTGACCATAGCCTGCGGTTTACCATAATCTTACATTTAAACATATTTAGACTCTTATTAACACACACTTTTTTATTTGCGTACGAAACAAAAGCTTAAACGATTAACGAAAGAAAATTAAAAAGGTTTATATGCGTGCTTGAAAGTGAGTGATTTTTGATGGGCTACTCACGAGTCAATGACGGGCATTGTCCTTGAAAAAAAATAACACACAACCCTATCTGGTTTTTCTTAATTTGAACTAAATTTTTGTTGGCTAAAAAGAAGGCATTTCCCGCATTTTATCGTTTGGGTTGCGAAAAGTGATTTGAAATGGTAAGGTGACTGAAATCCGTCAGCACATCACGAGCTTAACGGCCAAGCACAAGAAGCATGGATGTCTCCAGATGACACGCAGAGGTATTCACGAATCGTTTAGAACCACCTCGGTAGATATTGTGCAGCAAGCCGAGTAGAACATTATGCCTGTAGCTGCTTTCAAAGTGTTCCTGTCTGCTCATCCTACTGCTGACTATCGTGATGCTTCGATCTTCCCTACCGAATCGTTCGTATTTCAGTTAAAACCTAAACATAAAAAGGTGATAGCAGAAACATAAAAGGTTGGCAATTAATGATGCTGAGAATGTGGCTTTATTGATATATATACTGAATTTACTCCCAGCGGGTAGACCTTAGTACTAGGTAGTATGGAGACTTGAGGATGATGTATTTCACTTAAACGTTTATCAATTAACAAACGAAAACTTGTATCGAAATGACGTGTCCAAAACCTCCCTCTTTGGAAGTTTCCAGATTGGACTTACTTGTAATATTCACCACATTGTAGTGTAAAGACACCCCTTGGCTCTTGAGGGACGTGTTAAAGAAATACAAATTAAAGTTAAAAGTTTTTTTGTTTGTAGTAAGCAGAAAGCTACAAGAACTATCTGCACTCCCTCGATCGAGGCAATTTTAGCGTTGTAAGTCTGCAGACTCATGGCTGCCTCACTAGGGACAACTAATTATGAAATTTTATGTTTCATTATTCATTAATATCGTTTTACACTGTTAATGAAACATAAAACTTCCTATCGTTTTACACTTTAATGAAACATAAAACTTCCTTAGTGTAAAACGATAGGAAGTTTTATGTTTCATTAACAGTGTAAAACGATAGGAAGTTTTATGTTTCATTAATAGTGTAAAACGATAGGAAGTTTTATGTTTCATTAACAGTGTAAAACGATAGGAAGTTTTATGTTACATAAATAGTGTAAAATGATAGGAAGTTTTATGTTTCATTAATAGTGTAAAACGATAGGAAGTTTTATGTTTCATTAACAGTGTAAAACGATAGGAAGTTTTATATTTCATTAACAGTGTAAAACAATAGGAAGTTTTATGTTTCATTGATAGTGTAAAACGATAGGAAGTTTTATGTTTCATTAACAGTGTAAAACGATAGGAAGTTTTATGTTTCATTAACAGTGTAAAACGATAGGAAGTTTTATGTTTCATTGACAGTGTAAAACGATAGGAATTTTTATGTTTCATTAACAGTGTAAAACGATAGGAAGTTTTATGTTTCATTAACAGTGTAAAACGATAGGAAGTTTTATGTTTCATTAACAGTGTAAAACGATAGGAAGTTTTATGTTTCATTAACAGTGTAAAACGATAGGAAGTTTTATGTTGTTTGTGGATACCTACATGTATAAAAATAATTCCTTCCAAAAACATAGACAAACACAACGTATCCACCAAGTGCCTTATTTTGGTAGACTTTAAAATTGTTGGTTGTTTTTCCATTAATATCGTGCATTATTGTAGACTTTAAAATTGTTGGTTGTTTTTCCATTAATATCGTTCATTGTTGTGGTAGACTTTAAAATTGTTGGTTGTTTTTCCATTAATATCGTGCCTTATTTTGGTAGACTTTAAAATTGTTGGTTGTTTTCCCATTAATATCGTGCATTATTGTAGACTTTAAAATTGTTGGTTGTTTTTCCATTAATGTCGTGCATTATTGTAGACTTTAAAATTGTTGGTTGTTTTTCCATTAATATCGTTCATTGTTGTGGTAGACTTTAAAATTGTTGGTTGTTTTTCCATTAATATCGTGCCCTATTGTGGTAGACTTTTAAAACTGTTGGTTGTTCTTCTATTATTATCGTGCCCTATTGTGGTAGACTTTAAAACTGTTGGTTGTTCTTCTATTATTATCGTGCCTTGTTGTGGTAGACTTTAAAACTGTTGGTTGTTCTTCTATTAATATAGACGTTTTATACGTTTGGCCAGTATGCCAGTTCTTATAATCTTTTGTTTGTTCAGTTAGTTACAAACAAACCTACGCAATGGGTTATCTGCATTCTGCCTATCTTGGGTATCGAAGCCCGACTTTTAGCGTTATAAGTCCGCAGACTTACCGCTGTGCCACCAGGGGGCTACCTCATAAGGGTGTCATCTTAATTTTGTTTGCTTGTTTGTAGTTAAGCACAAAGCTACACAATAGACTATCTATGCTCTGCCCACCAGGGGTATCGAAACCCGATTTCTAGCGTTATATGTACGCAGACATATCACTCTGCCACTGGGGGGCGTGTGTCATCTGAAAATCAATACTAGGTAGAGTATTTTGTTTGTTTGTTTTGAATTTCCCGCAAAGCTACACGAGGGCTATCTGCGCTAGCCGTCCCTAATTTTGCAGTGTAAGACTAGAGGGAAGGCAGCTAGTCATCACCA